ATTCGAAGGAAGAAGAAGAAGAAGAAGAAGGGGAGAAGAAGATGAAGAATTCCATCCACGAGGCGATCCCAAGAATCGAGCACTCGACCTCCATTTAGGAGAAGAAGAAGAAGAAGAAGAAGAAGAAGAAGAGGAGGAGGAAGAAGAAGAAGAAGAGGAGGAGGAGGAGGAAGAAGAAAAAAGGGAGAAGAAGACGAAGAATTGCATCCCTGAGGCGATCACAAGAATCTAACACGAAAAAGAGGAAGAATGGGGGAAGAAGAAGAGGAATTGCATCCACGAGGCGATCCCAAGAATCGAACACGCGACCTCCGATTTGGTAGTTGGACGCTCAATCAAACGGCTACGCTGACTGGGGTGAAAAAAAAAGGAAAAATAAAGGGAAAAAAAAAGAAAAGAAAAAAAGAACAAGAAAAAGAAGAAGGGGTAACAAAGACGATGCAAGCCGGTGCTAAGTCTCACTTCTTTTTTTTTTCTCCTTTTTTTTCTTTTTTTTTCCTCGTTTTTTCCTCTTTTTTTTCTCTTTTTTTTTCTCTTTTTTTCCCTCTTTTTTTTTCTCTTTTTTTTCCTCACTTTGTGAATTCAGGAATCCCTGGGCCCAAGTTCCATTCACCAGGATCGGCCATTTTCTGAACCGTCGATTTGATTTCAGAAATCTGCGGCTAGAAATGAAGAACCAGGGTAGGTGGGACTTGGCCTCCGATCCCCGAGGGTAAATTCCCGCCTTTTTTCGACCACCCTTTTTTTCCTTTTTCACCTTTTTCACCTTTTTTTAAGGGGACCGATCAAACAGATCTCTTCCTTCGTTAGTGTGCACACAAAGAAAAAGGAGAAATTTGTTAACCTGCAGAAAAATAGAGGGGGGAAAAAAACAAATCTTCGTCAAATCCAGCAACGAAAAAAAAAAAAAAAAAAAGAGATTGTCGTTCGCTTGCAGCACAGAATAAAGAAAGGGAAAAAAAATAACAATAAATAAATAAATAGGAAGATTTTTTTTATTTTATTTTTTTTTTTTGGGGGGGGGGGGTAGGAAGAGATTCGTCCTCGCTCATCATTTTATCGTCCCTATACCTTTCTCGGCCTTTTGGCTAAAAATAGGTCAAGTGCAGTGTATCCATTCTGATCAATTTACTAATATCTGATCCGTGATTTACCGGAATAACTAAAAAAAAAAAGTCGGAAGTCTTCCGTGTTTTTTTTTGCCCCCCCCAAAAAACACAAGGCCTCTTTTCCAAAGACTGTTTTTTTTTTGTTGTTGTTATTCCGACACAGGGGAGGGCCTCTACCCGAGGAAGCGGGATTGGAGGCCCCTTGTGGGACCCCTGGGGCGAGGTCCCACTAGCAAAGAGGGTTGGATAAATATCCTGAATCTGGACGTGTTGTAAGCAGAGATGCAGAAAAGCAGTTCAATCTCGATGTAATGCACCTCTCCACAATTACGTCCAGATTCAGGCATTCTATCCGATCCTCTTTGCTAGTGGGACCACGCCCCTGAATCTGCAAGCTCTTTGCTCTTTGACGTTGTATTGTTGCCTTGGGCACTAAGCCCAAATAAATCTACTTTTTTTCTAATAAAAACAAAAAAAGAACTTTATGGTCCGGGCGGCCCGGACCGGACCATAACCTACCTGTCAGCAAACATAGGCTACCAGCCGGGCCGCACGGGTCACCTTGTTTGTCCGGGCGGCCCGCCGTGCAAGGACCAAAGAAGGGCCCACCAAAAAAAGGAGAATCCAAACAACTCTGGAAAAAAAAAAAGTTGTGCAGAAAAATAAATAGACGGACTTTTGCCTCAGGGTCACATCGAAATTATTTACCAAATTTAAAATAAAAAAAACAAATTAAGGTTACCATCCGGGCCGCCCGGGTCACCCTGTTTTCCCAGGCGGCCCGGCCGTGCAAAAACTACCGGTAGGGGAAGGAGTAAGGTTAACTGTGTCCCACAAACACCTGTGCGACATCTGCGGGACATCGTCCGACCACTGATGCCGAAGAATCCGATGGCAGCGAAATTGCCTTGTATTTATATTCTGAAGTGGTGTTTTTTTTTTGTTTTTTTTTGTTTTTTTGCATTTTCTTTCCAGTTCTGAAGAATGCGAGGCGGGAAAAGAAAATAGAAAGACTCATTTTGATTGCCAGCTCTTCAAAAGATTAAAAAAATTCAAGTACTCGAAGGGCATGTTTTTTACCCCCTTCTTTTTCCCCCGCGGTCAATTGTTAACCCCATCCAGTACTTCGATTATTTTCTCTCAAAATAATATTATAAATATTATATGAACTGCACGCTTCAGCATGGCAATCGCCAGAGAAGGGAGTCCCCGTCAGGCACACAAAGGGACTCCCTCCCTCGTGGTGGTACGCGAGACTGCAACAGTCACGTACCACTCT